TTTTTCCACAAATTCTGCATCCATTTTCCTCTTCCTAATGCATCGCAATCACATACCTTGATAGTATATATACACTACTATATGTATATGTACAACATCTACACTTGTAGTATATATACACTACTATATGTATATGTACAACATCTACACTTGTAGTATATGTACACTACTATATGTATATGTACAACATCTACACTTGTAGTATATGTACACTACTATATGTATATGTACAACATCTACACTTGTAGTATATGTACACTACTATATGTATATGTACAACATCTACACTTGTAGTATATGTACACTACTATATGTATATGTACAACATCTACACTTGTAGTATATGTACACTACTATATGTATATGTACAACATCTACACTTGTAGTATATGTACACTACTATATGTATATGTACAACATCTACACTTGTAGTATATGTACACTACTATATGTATATGTACAACATCTACACTTGTAGTATATGTACACTACTATATGTATATGTACAACATCTACACTTGTAGTATATGTACACTACTATATGTATATGTACAACATCTACACTTGTAGTATATGTACACTACTATATGTATATGTACAACATCTACACTTGTAGTATATATACACTACTATATGTATATGTACAACATCTACACTTGTAGTATATGTACACTACTATATGTATATGTACAACATCTACACTTGTAGTATATATACACTACTATGTGTATATAAACCCCCGAAACCCCAAACCCGAACAGTAAAATCATATGCAACGCATAAATACCGTATATTATACTAGTATACGTTCACTATTAAGCTCATTCGAAAATTTTACTTTAACAGTATTAGACTATACCCCTTCCCCCCACCTCTAGGTGGGGCCAGTCTTCTTCCGCCGCAACACCCAGCCAAGACTTTGCCAGGAGCAGACGCACGCAAGACGCTATCCATTCCACCAGTATGGTCACTGCCATAGCATCCATTGAAAGAACTTGCCGACAATGACAACGACTTGCTCGTTGAAGGTATGGAGGTCTTCAGCAGCTCAGCGAGGGAGGACTAAACACACGAAGGGAGTAATCCAAAGATCCCCGGTTCTATCCAGGGACCTATAAATTTCCCGGGAGGAACTAATTTTGAATTTTCCACACAGTGTGGAGAAATATGCACATGTGTTGGTGGCGATGCGAAGATTATAATAAAATTTTGGGAAATTTTCATTGGTTTCCGTAAATTTAGTGAGGAAACTTCTGCTAAAGCGAGTACATATATTTCAACACTTTTTCCACGGATGGCTAGCAACACATTCTTCAATCAGTTTTCCCATGTAAATGTCATCATCAAATTAGCAGCATTTTTCCCATTTTTACGATGCTATCACTCAAGCTAACGACCCCTGCTCACATTTTTTCTTTCCAGATCTCTAGCAGTGTTCCACAGCTCCGCATAGTCCCTCTCGAGATCCTTCAATTTCGACAACACCTCGTCCTTCTCATGCAAGGCTCGCGTCAACTAAAACCACACATCGTGAAACGCTTCGCTCCGCTCTTGTGTTCGAGACGCGACGATTCCAACATGAAATCTATGGATTTGAGGCGTGGCCCTCCTCACGTGTTGAGTGCAATGTCTATTAACTCTCCCGAGTGGCATAACAACTCTGTTTATCTCTCCGCTAGGGATTTGCCCATTGAGATAATACTACACTAGATATAAATTATATCATATAATAGCAGGGGAACGCCTCACGAGGCTGTCTGATTATACTCAATCCAAGAAGGCTTTCTTCACCCGAGGGAGACACATTGTGTGCTACGGGGGTTGGGAGAGCGATAATGATAAGATATAATAACATGTCTATTAACTCTCCCGCCTCGACAGCTTCCTCACTTACTACGGAAGTGTACATACGAATTCGGGTAGAAACCAATACTAATTTCCCAAAATTTTATCCCAGAATTTTCATATTGTCACCAACACATGTAGTTGAGGATGTGTATAATTTCCCATAAAGACTTTCATCCGAGAGGTCCCCGGTTCGATTCTCGGCGAGCGCCCACTTGCTGTTTAATTTTCGCACTCTCCCCTGCTTTTTCCTGTATCCAAAATTCCCGTTCCAACGACTGGTCGTCAACCTACACCCAAAATTATCATACCACTCCTCCGCCAACTACTTCTACAAACCTGACGCTGTAGTAGAGCTCGAGCCGCCCGTTCTCGCGCCAACTCTTTCTTCAGCCGACACATCTGATAAAACACATGAGCTTCTCGATAAAAATTCAGAGCTCCTCCAATTCGAAAAGAGCGAGAAATTTACATCTATCATGGATGTAAATTACGAAGCGAGCGGAGCATATACCGCAACAACAGACACTTTCGCATTGTGCGTGCGTGCAGAATTATTCTGGCTTAACTACGAAGCGTAGGAGGCCACCAGATAGATCAAACGACTCCTCTATATGCCGAGGTTTGCGCAAAACTCGATTATGCGAACAGCTCGACGAGATATGCACGAAAATATTTAATAACGTAAAAATGTCCAACCCGGGAATCGAACCGGGGACCTATGCCAAATTCATTGATTGAATCAATAGACGTGGACTAAGTGAGCTCCGCCCCTTCGTCACGAAGGCCTAGTTGCTAATATATACCAAAAAAACATAGATGATCTGAATATCATCAAATCGATAGTAATAGTTTCCAATCTAATTAATACGTGATTTTCGTAACGAGCATTCGCAAACGATGCCTATTCTGTCACTCGCCACGAAATTACAAGAAGTGGGCCCTTTTTCACCCCACCCTAGAGTTGATAATCATATATCAATAGTTTCTATTCAAGTCGGATGTGTCCATGCAAAAGACAATTTCGCTCGCCTCAAAATCATTTTGATGAGAATATCATAAACGTCTTTTGTTGACTTCTGAACTACAACGACGTATTAAACTACGCCCCAGAAATGTCCCCTCCAGGAATCGAACCCGATACCTACCTCAAGCTCGTCCACCTCCCTTCCCTTCTTAGCATCTGTTGACAATGACGACGAACCTACTGAAAATGGGGAACCTGCTCGACCGCTGAAGGCTGCCGAATTCCAAGTCAAGTGGTGGTCTCGAGCAGCGGAGGGGGTAATTGTGGCTATAGTCATACAAAGAGAAACTGTAATCGATCAACCGTTTCATCATACTACATAATATCTAGTACAGTACGTGTCAATTCGATATGCAAATGAATGTTATGATAATCGATTTGAAACTATATCGCATATACAATGTAATGATGGCTATGAACATGTGTTGTGATGATGAGAGTACCCGTTTGGGACTGTGATGATAGCGACAACTTGTTCACTATCGTTCGTCCTTCAAAATAACACACATTTGCATATCAAATTGACACGTACTGTATATATGACCTATTATCAATACATCGATAAAACCTATATTAAATAGTATAATAAATTGATATATTAGATTCAATACCTCATAAAATATTATATAGTTTACTATATTGGAGTTTCACGACCCGTTTTACGTGAAGTGGCGTCGCAAAAACTCGGTGAAAACGCGATATTCAAGGTGATATGCAGTAGTC